TTTTTTTTTTTTTTTTTTTTTTTTTTTGTCTTTTGTCTTTTTTCCGTGTCCGGCAACGGATCGCAACCCTCAGTGTTGCCCCCGTACCGGACCGGGGACCGGCAACGGGATCGCAAGCCTCGGTGTTGCTCCCGCGCCTCGCTCAGCCAGTGAGCAGGAGCCGGTCTGTACGTGGGATCCGAACCCTCGGATGGGAGCGCCGCCGCGCTTCCCAAGCGGCGCACTATCCAGTGCGCCACCGGGCCGGCCCTGCATGGAATGTTTTTTACTTTGAGTCTTTTTCATCCTTTATTTAAGATGTATCTCTTACAAGCATCATGCTGCTGGGTTTTATTTATCCAGTCAACAGTCTTTACCTTAGAGTATTTAGTCCATGCACATTTAGTTTAATGATAAAATTAGATATAAATTGTCTGTTTTTTTGTTTCACTTGTGGTATATTCTTTTTTATCTTTCTTTCTTGCCTACTTTACGGCTAGCCATTTTTATTATTCTATTACCCCAACTCATTGCTTGTTAGTTATACATTCCTTACTATTCTTTTAGTAGTTACCTGATTTTAATATATATCTTTGACTTGTTAAAGGCTTGTATGTGTTAGTACTTTTTAGACAATGCAAGAATTTTAGAAACTGATTCTATTTACCTCTTTCTGCCTTTTTTTGGTATTGTTTATTTTAATTCTCTCTATATTTTAAACCCCCTAAGACAGTCAATATTTGTTAGATGTACCAACATATTTACCCTTTCTGGTACGCTTTATTCTTTCATGTATTTATGTGGTTCCATTTGGAATGGTTTTCCTTCTAACTGAAAGGCTCTCTTTAATATTTCCTTTAATGTGGGTCTGTTATGACACATTCTCTTAGAATTTGTGTCAAAATATCTTTTTTTGACATCATTTTGAAGAATATTTGTCCTGGGTATAAAAATCTGGGTGCTTGACAGTTACTTTTTTCCAACAATTTGAAGACATCATTCTATCATCTTTTTCTGTTGAGAAATCAGCTGTCTTGCTTCTTTGGAGGTAATTTCTTTTTGTTTTGCTTTTCAACAGTTTTACCATGATGTTTCCACTTGTGGTTTTCTTTGTATTTATCTTACTTGGTGTTTGTAGGAATTCTTAAATCTATGGCTGGATTAAAAAAAATTTTTTTTTAGACAATTCTTTGCCATTATCTTTTCAAATATTGTTTTAGATCTATTCTTTGTCTCTTCTTCTGGGCCTCTACTTAACCCAATAGGCTCTTAAAACTTATGTTCCTTTCTATATTTTTCATCTTTTTGTTTATTTTTCTTTTTTTTTTTTTTAAAAGATGACCGGTAAGGGGATCTCAACCCTTGACTTGGTGTTGTCAGCACCACGCTCAGGCAGTGAGCGAACCGAACATCCCTATATGGGATCCGAACCCGTGGCCTTGGTGTTATCAGCACCACACTCTACCGAGTGAGCCACAGGCCAGCCCTTTTGTTTATTTTTCAATTCGGATATTTTCTTCTGACCTATCTTTGAGTTTACTAATTTCCTCATTAGTTTTGTCTAAGCTGCTGTTAAACTCATCCATTGAGTACTTAATTTTAGTTATTTTTCTTTTCACTTTTGGACTTTATTTTTATTTTTATTTTTTTTGTCTTTTGTCTGTGTCCGGCAACGGATCGCAACCCTCAGTGTTGCCCCCGTACCGGACCGGGGACCGGCAACGGGATCGCAAGCCTCGGTGTTGCTCCCGCGCCTCGCTCAGCCAGTGAGCGGGAGCCGGTCTGTATGTGGGATCCGAACCCTCGGACGGGAGCGCCGCCGCGCTTCCCAAGCGGCGCACTATCCAGTGCGCCACCGGGCCAGCCCACACTTTTGGACTTTATATTTCATTTTTTTTTGAGTGGTTTTTAGTTCTTTGCCAGAATTCATTATTCTGTTATTTAAGTTTTTGAACGTATTAATCCCAGTTTTTTTTAAAGCCTGTGTCACATAACTAATATGTGGATCTCTGGTGGATCTCTTCTTCTCATGTCCTTTTGATTTGTAGTTAATTGTAGTTTTTATGCATCCTTGGGTATTTTTGATTGAATGCTAGGTATTATTTATGAAAAATTGTGGATATTAGGCTAGCTCATTAGCTCAGTAGGTTAGAGTGTGGTGTTATAACACCAAGGGCAAGGGTTTGAATCCCCACACCAGCCAGCCACCAAATAAAAAAAGAAAAGAAAAATTGTGGAAATAATTTGAATCTCTGACTATGTTATTTTCCCTCAGAAAGGATTTGCTTTTGCTCCTACACAGAATTAGAAGCAGAACATCTTTACTCAGTCAGGGATTGAACTGTTTAGAAGTTAGGCTTTTAGGTCGGCCCGTGGCTCACTCGGTAGAGTGCGGTGCTGATAACACCAAGGCCATGGGTTCGGATCCTATATAGGGATGGCCGGTTTGCTCACTGGCTGAGCGTGGTGCTGACAACACCAAGCCAAGGGTTGAGATCCCCTTACCGGTCATCTTTTAAAAAAAAAAAAATAAATAAAATAAAAGTTAGGCTTTTGTTTTGGGGGGTTGGTCTGCTTTTGGCTTATTCTTATTTCTAGAGTGTAGCCTCTTGGGGTCCTAAATGAAACCTTGGAGAATTAAACAGGACTCCTTCTCCTTGGTGGCCTATACTATAACTCCAGTTTTTGTTTCCCATTTCTATGATATTGCTGAAAGCTCTGTTCAGTTTCTTAGCCTCTCAGTTACCATTTTTGAAACAGTGCATCTAGAGGAAAATCCTAGAGGGGAGAAGCTGAACCAGATATCTCTGGGCTTCCCTTCCCTCTGAGTTCTTAGCCCTTCAAGTCTTTATTGCCTTTCTAATTCTGTGATATATTTAAATGGGTGCTTTAACATTTTGTCTAGCTTTTTCTCATGGCTGCAAAATTAGTCTAAATGAACTAGTTTGTTATTGCCAAAAGCAGAAATAATTTTTCTCCTTTTTTGGAGAAAGCAGTTAGGTTTGATTTCTAACTGGCAGTGAAAAGATGGTGATTTTTGAGAATTTGTGCTTATACTTTTGTGAAAAAAATTTAAAGGCTTATGTATTATTTTTATAGTTTTTTCCTCTTTTCAAACCTTAATAAGTACTAAAATTATTAATTTTTTTTTAACT